AAAAATAAATAGTGTACAATTTTTAACAAACCTTTGTCCATTAGCAAGCATAGTGTCAGAGCGTCATAGTAAAATAAGGCATTGAGATTTACAGGGTGTCTAAAGTGTCACGACATGTATATATATATATCTTGGTAGAGAGAAGTTTCTTGAAAAAATTAGTTAACAGTTGTGTCGTTAGGGTGGTAACTAAAGACAATTAGCAATAGTTATGTAATTAGATAAGAGAATTACGTAACTATTGCTAATTGTCTTTAGTTACCACCCTAACGACACAACTGTTAACTAATTTTTTCAAGAAACTTCTCTCTACCGAGATATATATATATACATGTCGTGACACTTTAGACACCCTGTAAATCTCAATGCCTTATTTTACTATGACGCTCTGACACTATGCTTGCTAATGGACAAAGGTTTGTTAAAAATTGTACACTATTTATTTTTAATAACAAAAATTCAGGTTGTACGCAGCTGATGAGAACCAACGAAATAAAATGGATCCAGATTATTCTGCGCCAATGTTTCTTTTCTCTTTGTTCAAATTTATAAAAGGGAATCATTGTATGAAACTTCACTTTTTGTCTAAATAATCAATACTCATGAATTTAATGTGTATAAGCGTCTAATATTTCTTGTATATATATATATATATATATATAGTATCTGCTCAGATTACTTAATAATCTATGATTTGTTCTGAACAATTTTATTCTTTAGCTTTTTACATACTCAGACCGTTTGAATGTGTATAGGACTGATGCTGTCTTTCTCAGTCAATTTTTATTTGTTTATATTTTCATCCTTCTGTTCAGCTAAATTTTGGGAGTAATAAATAATTCATTTGAAAGTTTTCTAGCTGCATTCTAGAGGGGAGACAATGCGTCCGTCAAACTTTGCTATTGTTTAGAAGGCTGTCATTAATATAAACCAATCATATGTATATATATATATATATATATATATATATATAATTCCCTTGGGTTCTGGGTAGAGCTTAATTTTTCAACAGCAAGTGACCATTTTGTCCTATTCTCTGCGAGTCTTTTGTTGTTGGTTTTTTTTATTTGGAACCGCGATTGCCGATAAGTCTTCATCTTCACCATGTCACCCTGGGACGTCTTATTCCACCAGTATGAAGAATGTTTCAAATTTCGTGACTCATAATTGTTGGTCAAATTACCTTTTGTGTGTGTGTGTGTCAGTTTAAGAGTAGTGCATGAGTCAGCGTGATTAAAGTTGACAACTAATTTCTGTTCTTTGTCAGTTCACTCTTTAAGAAAAAGGGAAACTCTTTTTGCTTTTTATTAAAAAAGAAATAATCAGAAACCACCAAGACTACTTTATAATCACAATAGGCTGATATATGGGGAGTAGGAAATTAGTCTTAATAAAAATAAGATGAATTTCAGATTCACTCATGTATTGGTTGGAGGATTTCATCATGAGCTGACATTAGTAAGAGAACCATTGGAAAACCTGGGACTGCTGTTTCTTCATAGTTTTTTGGGACTCTTCATCGGTACGCACCCACACCGTGGGGTTCGAACCCTAGGACCTTCTGGTTACAAGGCGAGCTCATAGACCATTACGCTACTCATATACATTAAATTAACAATCCCCATTGTGACATAAAAACAAAGAATTCAGCGAAGAAAATTCTCTTTTCGACGATTCTATTTTCATAGCTTTACAATTATATATATATATATATATATATATATATGACCTACAATAGACAATAACTGTAAAGAAGAAAAGACCGAGGAGGCTGGAAGGAATGTTAATTTGGTGAAACGTATTGTACATAGGTAAATTTAGTATACCATATTTTCAAACCGCCATTTGCACATCATTTACCACATCCTTGATGGATTGGTCGAATATCGTCACATTCGATAGCTTCTTGGATTCTGCATCATATGGCAACATTCTTCTCATAGTTCTCTTCTTTGATTGCTCTTTCCAGTGTGCAAAACATATTGTTACTTTTCTGAATTCGCTTTCTGATGTACTACTTATATCGGATTATAAGTAGCACTCACCACATAACAATCAGTTATCTTGTGTGTGTGTGTTAAAATGTAACAGTGAGTGGAAATAAAGTGCGATAATATTATCGTATAGGATTATGAGTCGCAATTGATCAGATAGAGGTCAACCCCTAAAGCTCAATGAACATGGGTGAAATAGATGATCGGAAAATAAAGTACATTCAGAAATGTGAATATAATATGATGGATGAGTGGAATGTTCTCAAAATAGTAGACTAGATAAAATGTTAAAATATGATAACATAAAGTGGAATAAAATAAAACAAAAATGGAACATGGAATTAAGAAGGATAACAAAGTAAGATCAATACCGTAGTAATAAATTGCGATCGTACAAATTGTTTTTGTACACAAAGTTCTGGCTTAATGTTATGTATTGCCAAAGCAAATGCACTGGTATCCCTTTTCGGCAAACTATGTAGTCTATATTAAACGATGTGTCAGATACTGTGTGGTCAGTATCTACAATATGTAGCAATATCGATGAATTAATACCTCTACGTTCTCATTTGCTCAGTCAAACTGGGAGGTGCTCTCGAATGCGGCAGGGCGTATGTTTATCGACGAACGTCCTATGTATGTACCTAACTCTGCAAAAGCATGTGAACTTATAAATACACATGGAATTAAACAATCGAGGTAATTTTCTATAGTTTGGTTTATAAGGGTTAGTTATGTTTTACGAGTTGATCACGGATTGATATCAGTTAGAGAACCATTGACTTGCTACAGGATGGAGTTTCCTGGAGTTCTAGTGAGAAGTCGTGACCAGTGAGGTCCAATTAGATGTCACGTGTGTGGATGGATGTCCCAATGGTTGGGGTAGCGCTAAATCACGAATTTGTAGAAGTTATAATTCATGGGTTGGCCATTGAATCGGGTCCCAGTGGCTGAATGGTCTACGAGCTTGCCTTGTAACCGGAAGGTCCTGGGTTCGAACCCTGGCAGTGGGTGCATACTGTCGATGATTCCCAAACTAGGATGAAACAGCAGCTGTCCAGTACTCCAGTGCTGGTTTCCAATGGTTCTCTAACTGGTATCAATCCGTGATCAACTCGTAAAATCGAGGTAATATTATTATATTCACACTTCCGAATGTACTTTATTCTTCGATCATCTATTTCACACATGTTCGTCGAGCTTTAGGTTGACCTCTATTTATTTAGTTATTCATCCATTTAATAATAATAACAATAATAATTCGCTTTATTCCAAAAACAGTACTTGTGATACAGAATGGAATTCTCAGCATTTTTATTACAGTATTGCATCCATTTAGTACATTATCAATAAATAGAATTCTACACAGATTAAGGAAATCTCAGTTCATTATGACAACAACATATTGGGACGTCTGTAGCAAAGCCAAAGCTGAACAGTGTTTGAAGGTGTTAGAAAAGTAGGTACTATCATATTTACTGGCATAAGCGAGAGAAAGAAACAAAGCAGCACATAACGGAAAAAAGAGAGAGAGAATAGGAAAAGAAAGAAAGAAAATGTTGTACCTATAAATGATATGAGTTGGAAAGACGAGGTCCAGTTGTTCTACTGACTATTTAATGAATTATAGGTGTCACGCCTAATGCTTTCTTTATCACACAGAACACGAGCTAAGTATGGTATGGTTGAGTTTTTGTACTTGCTGGTGGGAGCATACAGTTTTCTATATAAGCTTCTGGTTTTGCCTGATGAGATGCAAGGGAAGAGTTGTGAGTGAATAGGATGGTGTGAGTTAGATAAAATGGATTTGGCCCATTTTTCACATGAGTCCATGTGCCTGTCGACCAGAATATTAACAAGCTGGTTAAGTGGCACGTTGCTTACCCTGCTGACAACCTTTAACACCCTACGTAATAAGATATAGCCTTTCTTCAGTAGCCCTGGAAAAACTAAGGTGGAACAATAGAGAATAATAGGCAGAAAGCGAGAGTTAACGAATTGTAGGAGTAAGGGTTGGTTTATTCCAGAATGTCTTAACTTCTTGATGTAGAAGGTAAGATGGAATATTTTCTTAGAAATTATCAAGATATGAGACGACCAGGAAAGATCAGCAGATAGAACGACGTCAAGATATTTAATTTTCGACTTGGTCTCCATTTCAGTGCCATCTATGTTGCACACCTCGTGGGTGCTAACCAGTTTGTTTAGGTCGGATTTATGCCTAAAAGTGAAATTGACTGTTTGACATTTAGAGGGATTTAAGGTAAGACCGTTTTCCTTGGACCAGTGGCTGATTTCTGACAGAAAGCCATTAAGCTTAGAGCAGTCACTTTGATATTTGACAGGCAGAGATACTGTTAGGTCGTCAGCATATTTGACAAAATTGATGTCATTTGAAGATGGTAAGTCATGTAGAAAGAAAGAAAAGAGAAGTGGGGAGAGTACAGTACCTTGGGGGACATCAGCTTCAGTGAGCGCAGAAGAGGATGGTTTACCTTTATATACGGTGTATTGCTTTCTGTTAGAGAAGTAGGAATGCAGCCACTTAGTGACCCAGGACTCAATTTTTGTCATAGAGAGCTTATTTAGCAAGAGACATCAATTGCGACTCATAATCCTAAACGGTAATATTATGTCATTTTAGTGTTTCCATTCTCTGTCACACTTTAACACACAGAAGAAAAACTGATTGTCACTGTCTATTGTGTATATAAATATATATATATATATATATATATATACGATTGTACAGCTATGAAAATGAAATCGTCGAAAAGAACGTTTTCTTCGCTGTCATCCAGTCCCATTGAGATAAGCAGAACTACTGATTTTTCTAGCATGCTGCATATTTTTTTTTTGATCGGACTGTCAAAAGAAGAAGAATTCATCTTGTTAGCTAACATCTATCAAGTTTGTTTGTTTTTTTCTAAATTTTTGTTCGATTGTGCTTATATACATATATATATTTCTCGTTTTTTCTTTGTTTCTTTTTTTTTAATTGTTTAGAAATGAACTCGAAAGAAGATTTTTAGAAATCATTCAATTTAATATCAATGTGCCTAGTTCAGTTTATGCAAAATATTATTTTGATATTCGATCTCTTTGTGGCGCTAGTTGTCCAGCAACACTATTGTCTACTGATCGGGCTTATAAACTTGAGGTAAGTATGTCGTATGTATGCATGCATGCATCAATTCGCCGTTTTGTTCACCACCACTCGCCCCCCCCTCCCACTAGTAGTTGATCATCTCAAATTATTGACATTTTGATCTGTCTATGAAAAAGAGAAAACTGTCCTCTTTTTTTTTTGTTAGAAATCAGAAATAATGAATTTTGCAGAAAATGTTTGATAATTTCAATTGTCTGACTGAACGACGCATGCACACAAAAAAAAGTACTGATTGATTTCTATGCATCTAGTGGGTTGCGTGACTCAAGGGATTCTTTAAGTAGATTATTATTTTTTTGTTTTAGTGTTTTGAATTCAATTTATACTGGATTTTTTCAATTCAGTATCGCTCGATATTGAGTAGCAGGGAATTCTGGCAATGAACCAAATCAGAGCTAAAAGTCAATCTGAACGAAGAATATTCTTTTCAATAATTTCTTCTCTTCAGGTTCTTACAATTATAAAATATAATATTTGTTGTCGTTACAATAAAGGCCAGTTATGAGGCGGGTACATTTTTTTACGTAGAATAACAGATTACTTATAGGGTGTCAAAATAAATAGTCGTATTTGTGTGACAAACGTCGTGCTAGGCTGAATTCGATTACAAAATATTTGTATCCAAAAAGAACACGTCCAGACGCTGTTCCTACCGTGGCCAAACTTGGATTGATGATTCTTCTTCTCACCAAGAGTGCTCCTTCCCCTTAACCCTCTTGGCTTTTTCTTTCCTTTGCTTATTATTACAATTATTATTATTCGTCATAATTTATGCCCTTCATGCAAACATTCTCTCAATACTATCGAATTTTTCGTTTATACTATCCGGACTTATTATTGGTGATATTATCTATTTTCCCAGTATATGCCTTCCTCCACCTGTTTCATTTCACATATTCGTTATTTCATTATGAACCTCTCATTGCAGTCTTACTATCTCCTGTTTAACACAGACCACTTTGTACTAGCCACTCACCTGACACGTTTTATAACCTTGAACTGACTTGTCAATTTTCCTACCCCACACTCTACAAATCTATTATGATTAATCACTATTGTCTCCCGTTTTACAATATTTTGTAATCGAATTCAGCCTAGCACGACGTTTGTCACACAAATACGACTATTTATTTTGACACCCCATAATGCTAATCTGTTATTCTACGTTAAAAATGTATCTGCCGCATAACTGGCCTTTATTGTAACGACAACAAATATTATATTTTATAATTGTAAGAACCTGAAGAGAAGGAAGTATTGAAAAGAATATTCTTCGTTCAGATTGACTTTTAATTCATAATATGGGAATTTTCCACACTATCAAATCAGAGCTACCTATCATCCAATCAATATGCAGAATGAAGTGGAGATATACTCTGAGGAAACCTTTGAGTGAGTGATATCACTCACCATTGAGTGGAACGAGAATAGGAAACGACACGTGGGGAGTTGTTGTGTGGGTGACATGAAGGCGATCGTGTGAGGAGGGAATGAAAGCGTATGGGCAATTATGATAAAGCCAGCTGAAGAAGACTGCTAAGGATAGAATGGAGTGTACATGTGCTGCTGAAGTCATATGTTCAGCACAAAACTCAAGGGGGAATGATAATCATGAATTCCTATAGAAATGTTTATCAATGCGATCTATAACTCCATTATGGATAAAATTTTATTTTGATAAATCACACAGTGTTGCTGTACAGTAATATTAACTGATAACCACGTTTCGAGCACAAATTATTGCTCATAATCATATCAAGTTACTCACACAACTTCCTTGCTTCATTTATTTACATGAGTGGAATTGACTAGATATTTGAATAAAAATCAATATGGGATAATGTACATTCAGAAATAATAATACTATGAGTGTTATTGATCAATTACAATCAGATGGGAAATAAGATGTTTTTTTACAGTAAAAACAAGTAACGTGTTAGAATGTTACAGAGGCAAGCTCTGTAGACTAAAGGACCCAATGAAAAAAAACCTTACAATGACTGTGAGTTGAGTCAACTACATAGGTCAAACTAGTAGATCGGGTGATGAGATGAGATAAATTAATTTATCTCATCCGTTAACTGTTAAGGCAGGCTTAGTTAAGTGTCTAACTAACCGACCAGTAGCGCTAAGTAGTACCAAAAAAGACCTAAATGATAAAATAAAATAGACAAAAGAAGTGTTGGTATCAAATAACTATCCTATAAAATTCATTAGGAAGATCAGAAAAGGCCAAAAGCAAAATAAAAATATTGGTGAAACTAGTAATGATAACATAAATAAGAAAGAATACAAGGCATCTACAGTTTTACCATATAAGGAGGGGACATCTGAGACCCTACGTAGGATTCCTAATGAAGCAGGAATTAGGGTGGCATTCAAACCTACAAACTCACTCATATAGGACAAGCTCTGTAAGCCAAAAGACCCGGTGGACCCAATTAAACCAAATAATATAATTTACAAAATACCTTGCAATGACTGTGTGGTCAACTATGTAGGTCAAACTAGTAGATCGTGGGTAATCAGATTATCAGAACATAAGAATTTAACTAACGTTAGGATGATTGACCCTGAGAAGATAAGTAATTTAGGAAAAAGCTCAGCAATTGCACTGCATGCATTAACACACAATAGGGTGGGTGGGACAAAGTCAAAACTCTAAAGAGTAATATAGGTAAGTGGAGATAGAAAGAGATTGATTACTGAAACCAGTCAAATCAGAAGAGGATAATAAAAAATCTTAAAATTCTATTTCAATTCAAACACATCACAACATTCTAACATGTTACTTATAATGACTATAAAAACACTCGTCTTATTTCCCATTTGATTGTAATTGACTAATAACACTCGTACTATTATTTCTGAATGTACATTATCTCATCTTGATTTTTATTCAAATGTCCAATGAATTTCGCTCATGTATATAAATGAAGCAAGAAAGTTGTGTGAGTAGTGACTTGATATGATTATGAGCAATAGTTTGTGCTCGAAACGTCATCAGTTAATATTACTGTATAACACTGTGTGACATATCAAAATAAAATCTTATCCATAACGGAGTTATACTCTGCCACAGTGCCCAAGTTTTATACTTATATCAATGCGATCTATGTTTTATTCAGTAAACTAATGATATCTTCAGAGAATTCAAGTGGTTCATAGCTGCGAATAAAGATCAAAATTAACTTGATGTTCAAGAGACACTGATCCTCTTATATTTCATTTGCGTCTACGCTTTTCCATCAGTGTTTAACAAAGTCGTATGAATAAGGACTCGACTTATTGGATGATGGATCGAATGTATTCAACAAAAATGACGTATTATGCAATGACACCATCATCATTATCAATACTTTACGTTCTCAGTGGAACATAGGGCTTCAACCTAGAGGCCTGAAGTTTCTGTAGCAGTGGTGATCATTTTTACAGGATGGGGTTGCTAGCCAGCCTAATACCCAACTGTCCCTCTTTACCAGTCTTACTATTGGCTTAGCGAGGTAAAGGAGTGCGTCGGCCGGGGATCGAACCCTGGACCACCTGCGTGGTCGGTGAGCACTCTACCGCTGTGCCAATGACGCACCAATCATCAATGCCAGAAATTGGATATTCTTAAAATGGATGTCCAGTTGAGCCGTTGAGTGTTAGATTCCGAGAAATCGGTAGCATATACTAGCTATTTACTTAGTTGACTGTTAGAGTCATATACAATTATTTCAACGCATATTTCACATTCCTTCAGATAAATGAAGGATAATAATAACGAATCGGTATTTTTACGAAATTGCAAATTTGTTATGTAGTTCAAATACACTAACGATAATGGTTCATGTTGGTCGATATAATGTAATTAATAAGTAAAATGCGTTTACCTAGTTGTACATCTGTATAGACGTCATCACGAGCCAACATCAGTTAACGAGGCGATTGAAAACCAGGAAACATTGGGTAGCGGTTTCCTCCTAGTCTAGGACTCCTCATCAATGCACACCCACTAACACTAAACTGCCAGGTGTCGAAACCAGGACATTCCGGTTACGAGATGAAGCTCGTTGACTATTCAGCTACCTGAGCTGGAATTCAATGATCTGTGAATTCTAAGTTTGTCAGTTCGTGATGGTATCTCCACTGAAATAAATCGAATTTCATACTAAGATCCGTAGCGATAGAATGCTCGCCGACCACACATGGTGGTCCGGGGTTCGATCCCCGGCCACAGACGCACTCCTTTACCTTGTCAAACCAGTAACAAGACTGATAAGGAGGGAAGGTTGGGCATGAGGCTAGCAACTCCACCCCGTAAAAAATAAACACCACTGCTAGCGGAACTTCAAGCCTCCAGCTTGAAGCCCTATGTTCCGCTGGGAACGTAAAGAAATGAAAAATAACTAAGATTCATAATCTAATTACATCTATGTAATGATTGTTTTCTTGTTTTGAATACTATTTCTACAGTACTCTATATTATTAAGTGTAGCTAAAACATTTTGTTGTATCCTAATTTTCAGGCATTTTCACGGATTATGGATGATCAATTCCATGATATTGTTCAAAAATGTCTTACTAAACGAAAATGGGGAAGTTTTGATAATTTAACATCTTCACCACCATTTCGACGTGCTGTCATCTCATGAGAGATAGGAAGGATACACTGAAGCTTAATTTCATCATTATGTAGCGCATGAATTCATTACTGATGATGATCTCTTAACGATGTCCATCGACATTTCCTATTTTATTTTCTTTCTGTTTATGTAATAAGCAAATTATTGTTGATCTGTATTCGCTTTTATTTTGGTTTTCTTTTTTCATTATTATTTATAACTTTCTTTATACCTCTGTTTATTTCTTTGTGTACATTTGTGATACACATTCAATGAAGTTCCCAGTGTCCATGTATTCCCAATCCCATTCCCTGATCGCTCCCAACCAACCCTCGCTTGTTTTCACCGATCTCATTATTATCTTTTTTTTATTTGCTTGTTTTGACTATATCTATATTTTTTTCTTCATATGTGTAAGACAAAGTGCATTTTTGTGTATAGGTAGAAGTAGGCATAATTCGCGTATTCAAAAAGTGCTGCGAATAATACTAGAACACTCTGCTTACCGTGTCACACTATAGTTGGATTCTCCTGTTTCCCTTATGCATAACCAGCCAACCGACCTACACGCCTACATGTGTTCTATGCATTGGCCTATCTATATCTTACAATATACATATATATATAGGACTATAATATTCATTTTTTTTTAAACAAAATTTTTTTAACCTTTTACTTTGGTGGTTTCTTTTTACCTTATTCATCAAGAAAAAGGGAAAAGAAACACAACACTCTTTCTTTTCTTTTTCTCCTAATACAACATGTAATTGTCTTTCAAACGATTATATAATATACAGACGTATAATAATTCTCCTGCGCTCGCTCACTCGCTCACTGGCGCGTGTGTATATGTGCCAGTGCATACGCCTTCCTTCTTTTTTCTCGCTTACGTATGTTGTGAGTAGTCCCCCTTGTGTTGGATTGCTTTTTTAAAAAAAAATAATAATAATTTTCAACTTTCTTCCAAACGATTTTATTGTGTATATTTTTCAAATTCCATTTTTAATCATAAATTTCTATAAAAAAGTATTGTGAATTGTGGCGGCGGCATGCTTTTGTTGCATTTTCTTTTGTGTATGTATGTATTCTCTCACAGTAGTGTGTGTGTCTGCTTTCACTAGTTTAGCATACCGCGCACACATGTTCTGGGCTCGATTCCCGGTCGCTACAACGCCACTACTAAACCTTCACATCTAGACGATAATTAACCCGGTAAAAGAAAGAGGAATGGTCGGAGGCGGGGACGGGCATGAAATTGATGGTCTACTCTGAAGACTTCGTGTTTGAAGCCCTGGAACACACACTACAGGAATGACATAAGTGTAGCAATGTTTTGAACATATTCTGCCTCTCTCCCTCTTTGTGTGTTGTTTTCATTTTTGTCTGCTGCATGAATTTTTGTTGGGTTTTGTTAAAAATTCTTCTAATGCAACAAATGATAAGCTTCTTTTGCTTCTTCTGTAGTTAACACCCTACAATAACAGTATAAGAGTAGTGATCACTTATTCTGTTCTATTGTGTTCAGTAAGAGACTTGTTTTGGAACGTATTTATATTTACATATTTGTATATCTGCCTGTATTCTCCTTATTGAATACAACCTGTTTATAATATATGTGATTACTTAAACACTAGTGCAATTTCACTTCGTTTGTTTGTGTTTTTTTCGTTGTTTTTTATTTGCATTGGTTCTTCCTGGGTTCAATTGTTTACTTACTTGACGAAATATATTAGTAAGAATCCCTTTTTATAATATAAATACTGTAACATATACACATATACATGGATCTTCTTATTATCATTAATATTATTGTTATTTGTCTTTTCTATTACTACTTGTTTTTAACAACTGCTTACTTTTTATGCTATAATATTGTAATGAATGATTACAGTGTTTTTACATTTTTCTTTTTTTCTTCTTTGAAATGAGCTGTTCTCTCTTCATTACTAATTTCTCTTTCACTAAGAACTATGTTATAACTAACTGGGCAACTACTACTACTACTACTGATCAATTGCTGTGTGTGTATGTAGGATTGATTATGCATTCAACCTTTTATATCTATCTATATTTGTGATTTACTCTGACAACAACTCACTTACTTCACGTTTTTACATATTCTTCCAACCAATTGTATTTGATGTTTCTTGCTTTCTTTTCTTTTTTTAAAAATGTGTATATGGTGTAGTAGTGTGCCAATGGGAATGCTTTATTTCACATAAGCCTTTTTTGCTGCTTCATTCACAGTAATCGGATAAGCTATGGCGTAATTTTACTGAAGTGTGTCTCTACCATATCTATAAGAATAAAACTTGTACACTGTGATAGAGTATAATTCCACTAAGGGTAAAATTTGTTTTGATAAAGTCTCACAGTAATGTTTACTGATGACCAGGTTTCGAGCACAATTTATTGCTGCTCATATTCATATCAAGGTACTGACTCACACAACTTTCTAACTTCGTTTATATAATTCCATTATTTTTGTTCATCGAGTCTGATACACCCAACACATGCAATAGGAATGACTCATCACTCATACCGGAAATATGGAGAATACTACTACCAATCATCAAGTCAAGCGATGAAAAATAATGGAATTATATAAACGAAGTTAGAAAGTTGTGTGAGTACCTTGATATGAATATGAGCAATAAATTGGGCTAAAAACGTCATCAGTAAACATTACTGTATAACACTGTCAGACTTTGATGATATTAGATAGTTGGAGGCGATCGCCCACAGGAAGCCTTCGACCTAGGTTTCGTGCTAGTTGGCACTCATCAGCAAGGCGTATCTGCAACCTTGAAGGAACTCATGTCCCTTCTGAGATTCGAACCCGCGTCACCCAGTGCTGCAGTCAGAGACGTTACCACTGAGCTATTCGGGCTCACGATTGACCTCCTGTAGGACTGTAGTGGGTATTTTGATTGGACACTAGTAACTAGTGTGACGTGTCTAGTCCTTTCTTTGGTACAGACTGGATTCTATCAGTCAGGTGTTTGCAATGTGGCCATCATTCTAGGTAGCTCGCCATCACGGTGCACATTGATTTGATGATATTTGATAGTTGGAGGCAATCGATAGGAAGCCTTGGACCTAGGTTGGTGGCCACATTGCAAATACCTGACTAGATAGAATTCAGTCTGCACCAAAGAAAGGACTAGACACGTCAGACTAGTTACTAGTGTCTAATCAAAATACTGCCAGACTTTATCAAAACAAATCTCTACCATCTAGTTTGACACTAATAAAGATTGATTGTCTCATTTGAGATGTTTGAATTTACTAAGAGTGAAGAGATGACATATTAGGACCTTTAGAATAGAAAGCTTACTACATTATACAGTCTGTTGATGTGTGTCTTTTTTTTAGTCAATGCACATTTGCAGATGTGTGGTTATGCTAGATAATGCGTTGGGTAGACTGTTTCACTAACTGGATTTTGTTGTCGACAAAAATTACGTTTGGTGGTTATTGGCTGCATCAACCTTGTGACTACTTGTTGAGTGTTAGGGAAAGTCAATTGATGAGGTTGTGAAGCCACTTGGATTGAGATGGTTTTGGGCGTGTGTTACGCATGCCTAGCCATCGAGCTCCTCGATGGGAAATGTTAGCTGACCATAAACCATCAGGTTGGGAAAGAGCTAGTGGCTGTCAAATCAAAACATGGAATAAGTCAATGAAATCTTCAACAGTTAGTTTGAGCCATCTGGGGAAATGTAGACTACCTGATTGGCGTGCTCAGGATATTAAGAACTAATGGTCGGGGATAACTGCAGATATGGCTAAAAATTGTTCTCAATGGTGCAAATTCATTCACTCTTCGTGACGCTCTCATCCATTCAATCCTAATGTTTTTCAAAAGACAGACATTAATGTTGTTAATAACCCTAATTCTTTCATTATTATGAATATATAGTTGTAGAGCATGATGAAGAAGTTATCAAAAAGAATATTCCTTGTTCAGTAATCAGTATTTTAAAATGCCTAATGTTTACGCATGTTACTATTTTTCTACCTCAAATTCCTTTCTATTCATTTGTGTGCTACATGAAGTGTGGCATGTTGAACTGCTGTGTTGGAACCAGTCAGTATGACTACTTGCCTTTAAAATATTCTTTAATCATGTTCGACAACAACCTATGCCAAAGTATTGTAGTAGTTGAAGTAGGTTAAGATGTGGGGCAGTACTAAGGTTGGCTGGACAAACATCTAGAAACACACTACGGAGTTATATATGTTATTCTTCATGTCGCTAAACTGTGTCTGCACTAGGAAGGAAGGATATCACTCAAATAAATGTAAACAACATAATCGCGGATTGAGGAGTTTCTAGTCGATTCTGAGCCTCTATACATATGCCTGTGATATCGAGATAACTGACACAGTTCTCATTAGTTATTGACATCTTAGGATGGAGTCGTATCTGGGTCCCACTACCTTTTACTTTTTTCCAACTCGGTCCTACTTTCGCTAGTACAACACAAGATTTGCAAGACATGTACCAGTCAACTAATGCGCTTGAGACTTACAACTTTTCTACGCCTAAATTCCGCATCGCTCACGTAGTTTTTATTTTCACAGAACGCAGTAGTCACTACAAAGCAAGAATTAGTCAGAAACCTCAGGTTTCCTAGATTTTACTTCATAATCAAGCAGCCCACCAGTAACGACAAATTACATGTTTTGAGGTTGGGTCTCAGCTGCATTCCACCCAACTGGGCAGTTCATTGGTAGGATTTGATGATGTAGGTACTCATGAAGAAAGGACAATTGTTCTCTGGTGGATTTTTGCCCTTTCGCGAAGTCTACGTAAGCGGTCGCACTTCTTTCTGTTCGAAGCTGGGTCTGTATTATGTAAGCGAGAAGAATGTTTATAGCATTTAGGTGGTATAGGTTAGAAGTGATCCCAGTAGTATTTATACTTTAATGACTTTCTAATAAAAAAAATTGTTTGTATTGCGGCATCCAACAGGGCGTTAACATGTTATTTTTACTTCTCTTTCACTCTTGTTATTACCTCCTGTTGTGTGTGTAGATGTGAAGTGGGCCTTTTTTTCCTAATTTCGATAGTATCTGTTTGTATTCCTAAAATCCTCACAATAACTTAAACATGAATTATTGGGAGAAATATAATTGGTTTATATCAACTTCTACTACATGATATGGAAATACTTAAGATTCTGAAATCGTACACAGTGAACAGTTGTTAGTGTAAACGCTGTATTTAAATCTCTTTAACCCGCAAAGTTTGATGCACATTACTCTTGCACTCGTAGCTTAAAGATAGGGAGTGAAGTGGTGTTGACCACTTCACGTATTTGGGGAGTTGCATCATCCCCAACCGACTGGTTGTTGACGGAATCTCAGCACGAATGAAAGGCTCGTGTGCCAACCTCCATCATCTATGTCGTAGACGTGATATCCGTCTGACGACCAAAGGACGTGTGTACTGCTCAGCAGTTGACTCTGTCCTCTTTTATGGCTGTGAGCGAGACATGGCCATTGAAAGTGAAAGATATGAAAAGGCTGGCAAGCTGTCTTTGATCATAGGTGCCTGCTTCCTATCTCGCGTGTTAGGTAGTATAACAGGGTGAGTAATATTGAGGTTAGGCGTCGAGTGCTAGGCAAGGAGGGAAAGTCAATCGATGAGGTTGTGAAGTTACATCGATTGAGAGGGTTAGGACATGTGTTACGGATGCCTAGGTCATGATGTATGACATTTTGACCCAGTGGACTCAACAGTATTGTGTGGCTCACTATGCAAGTCGTTCGTGATCGGTCATTTTTTAAAAAGAAATAATCACCAGCTACTTAGCTATCTTTTCTGGTAAAAACAAAAAGAACTGATTACCGTTGGAGCGGACACTATTTATTGATTGGTCACTTTCTTCGAACTTAGTTACTCGTAACATATCTTTCATGTACGAGACTATGAGCCACAGTTATTGTGTGAGGGTTGGTGATATTACCCAGTTGTTCAGACTGAACTAGGTGGGGTTTGACTACTACATTAGGCAGTGGCCAATCTCGTACTTCTACTCCTTTGTACTGGTTTTGACTCAAATCTATCAGTTAAGTTTTCTGTGTGAGCGCCAAGCTAAGTAACTCACCATAGCAGTACACCTAGATTTATTTGTATGCATTACCACTGAAGAACTTGTATGCCCCCAGTTTGCCTTGAATTTAGAGTCATAATTCCTAGTTGTCCTGAAGTTCAGTCTTTCCAGCGGAAAGTACTACGAAGTTGTTCAAAGGCTTAATAAGTATGTTGGAGTTAGACTAAAACCAGCAAAATTGCATACTCTTGGCATCAACAACCTATGCGACACACTGTCACAATGTACTTCGAAGAATTGGTGTTAGATGGTTGATGGCAATATCCAGGACTTCACGGAGATGGAAGAAAAAAAATGGTACTGAAACATTCGTTATATCACATAGTCGAACATATAAAGCCTTCAAATATTACATCATTTAAGTCCAATTTTCACGAAAACAAGAAAATAAAGTTCTCAAAATGTACAAAAAAGAGAATTTTTTACAAAAATGATTGTCTTATATCCCCAATTTACCAGTAATTCACAATTAGACCTATTAGTTCTTCATAATTGTACGGAGGTGAAAAAAACAATTCAATTTACAACCATATCATCTTAATTGGTTTTAAGAGATTTCAAATCTTCGATAAGTTTTTCAACAGTAGCTTTATGACTTAACTTTTCCAACTGATCTTTGTTCAACTTTTCACCAGCTTGTTTTTTTCTTTCAATTTCTTCTATCTGAAGTAATCTCTTCTGTTCACGTCGCAGTTTTCGATCGACATCACTTGTAGTTGCAGGCAATTCATTTGAAGCGTCGCAACTATTACCACCTTCTGCTGTTTGTTGTAATGATGATTCTTTTGAGTCAAGTTTTGGTTTTTGCTCTGGAATTTCTGGGGTAAAATAATATAATAATAGTAATGGATTATTATTATTATTATTAGAAAGTGCATTTCAACTTGTCTGGAGAGTTTAAATTTCTATAATACACTCAAGAATAAACTGTTACAGGATAAAAGTCAAGAAATGTAAAAAATTGTCATTTACATAAATCAAATCACGATCCCCTGAATGGAGTTCAAGAGATCATACAACTCAATTTCCTTCTTCCTTCTCTCTTTCTGAAGGTGATACAAAGCAGTGGACCTTCCACTGAATGATTTAGATTAATTATGCTTACGTATTTATCCTAGTGTTGTTTCTCAACCCATTGTAATGTAACACAGTCTGTTTTGAGGACCTAAATTCTAATAGGACGTTAAAACCGAAGCACCTGATTGTTTTCGATGCCTGATTCCTGAGTCATTGACATGAAATCTAAAGTAGCAAATCAAAATCAGAGACTGTATTCCACCTACGATTGCCGGTGACCTGAACAAATTTCATAAGCCATACATCCTTCCTACATCCAATTTCCCACCACTCACTCAGAATCAGGGTTTCTGGACACCTCTAGATGAACGTTACGTACAAGTTCACTCGGTGACAACCACAGACTTTCACACTTGCCTTTTGCAATTTCGTAAAAATGCCTCCCACCGGGTGAAGTCAACGAATAGGATTTTTCTGAGTGAGGTTATGAACGCACGGCCACATAAGAGCGTTTCGAGAGGTACACCAGGTTCTCTTGCTTCTAATTTGGTTTATTGTTCTATTATTTAATGAAGACAATCAACTGAGGTAATGGACTATTTAGATATACCAAACTAGCATTTTTATAACCATTAACTAGTTAGTCGTGGCATAAGCTACTAACAAGGTTTTGTAAGTAGTATACATATACACAGATATAAATGCATATATCGTCTGCAAGAATATGGAATAACGGAGGGATAGATTAAATGACGAAGAGAAGAAATGAACGATCCTTGTATAAGAATGACTAAAGAACCACAATAAGGAAGACATGTGCAAATGGTGATTTCAATATAAGGTGACTGCATTTCGTTACGTCTGTACATCAAGTTGACAATAAACAATTCCGCTATTGAATACTATTGTACTCGGCTGTTACATAAGTACTGTACTTAATATGCAACGAGTTCAGAGTTATCCAGTCACTCATAATTTTATTGTAATGCACATATTTCAATGTAAGCCTTAAAGTCACCTGCTTTTAATACACAATTGAATTAATAGTTATGTATATATATTTTTCTCCTGAATTAAGCAATCAGTGCACAATAACAATGCACTTACGTTGTGTTTCAGTCTGTTTAGATTTCGCTTTCTTAGACTTTTTCTTTTTTGTAGCTGTATTCGAGGGTGTCGTTCCAGACTGCGATGATTGCTTTTGTCTCTCTAATCTGAGACGTTCAGCATCCTCCTTGGTCAAGCCTGGGATTACGAATTTTGACCTTTGTTCACGGATTATCACACCTGCAGACCGATAACTAAAGGTTGAAAAAATATTTTGAAGAAAAATTATTAAAAAAAAAATAGTATTTGCATAACAAATAGAGAATTCCAGAATTCGTCACACTGCATAAGATGGATTGAATTCACTCTTGTGAAACTTACTCATGCACAGATTTTTACTAATCCTGTATCACAGTGCACTGAAAAGAATAATAAACCACTGAAATTCTTATATTATGAGTCACGCATATAGTAACCCATAACGTCGCCAACAAGATGACTATAAACGCGACATGTTGCTAAGTCAGGAAAAGTACACAGGATTATGAGTGAACCAGTATTTGGACGCATTTGATCTAATGTATCTCAATAGCCTAGCAACATGTAGGTTAATTTCAGTCTCGCAAAAAAGAGATAAAACCTATGATTCAAAGTCGATTAGCTAAACAACTTTGTTGACACTGTTATACAAGGCCTACACTGTAGTTACAAGTAATCAGGATGAAAGCATAATCTACAACTTTATCTTAACTGCGATCCAGGTGAATGAATCATTAGGCAGTCATTACGGAGTTGTGGGAATTTTTCTCTTTAAGTAACAAACTAAATAAACCACGAGCATTGATAAATTTTTCACACAAAGTTAAAGATAGTGAAAGAATAAACAGCATTCTCACTAGGTACATTCACGAACACGTTTGGAATAGTTCCAGTGGTGGGAAAATTGCACTACTGAAACTACTGATTTCGATTCCGAGTCATATCTAATAATGTCTCCAGTCAATTAGTCAAATGATCATTTGAGACCCACCCATGGAGTCACAATGGAATAAAACAAGTGAATCTACACAGCCGTCAGTTGTTACAAAGCGCCACATAACGGGAGAATATATCAACCAGTATCAGCAACAGACAATATTGAACGGCATGGAGTTTGCTGGGTCAACACTTGTAATACGTCCGAATAAGTGAAGCCAGTGTTCTGGGATGATTTCTAGCGCCGGAAAAAGACTCTGAAAACTTGCCTCCAAACCTCAGGGTTATTTTCATAAAGTTATAATCCTAGCTAGACCAGAAGCTGTCACCTTCAAGTGGTGATCAAACTTGGACATTGCAATAACTCAACGACTTTTGATGGCCATGAGGACTGATGCTCGAAGTCCTACCACAGGATAACGACAGGCTGGATAGAGATAAAGCTAAAACAAAGTACTATCATAGCGTAGGTAGGTTATACTTCAGAAAAAGCCTGAGGGTGAAATCGCCAAGCTAACAGAAATGAATGAACACTAAAATGGCCATTAGTTCATCGTTAAAAAATTGGAATCTACTACGTTTAGTCTTCAGTTATCTGTAGGACTGAGCATTTTTAATGCATACCCTACATGAAGGGAGTATTGGTCCGGGCCAAGCTGCGAGATGTAGATTGTCTCGCTAGGGTTCACAAGGTGCTGAAAATCGATGTCTGCAAAATATACGAATTCAACCGAATGATGCGAATTCGCTTCATCCTTGGCGTGTTGAAAGTGTTCACTAATTTCCCTCGTTCATACATTCACCCATTGTGGTTTCACTACATTGCTTTCTTTACTTTTGTACGTTTCTCCACAACGTAACAGCTTCAACCGGTGCAGGTTTTGAAAGCTTTTACGTTGTTAAAACAGTTAGTCATCTTGCATTTATAACTGTAGAGCCTGCAGACAATAACTGGAAGCAACTGTTTGCTTAATTATTTTCTCTCATCTGAATACCCACAAAGTTTTTTTTAAATAAATGGACGTTGTCAATTGGAAATGAGCTACACATAATAAAGAGAGCATCGGTGGCACAGCAGATAGTACGACCGCCGACCATGCACATGGTCCGGGGTTCGATTCCCGGCCGACGCACACCTGATATCAATGGCCGGCCTGCTAAATTTGGCCTACCGATATCACATGCTGAAAATACCATACTTGTGTCAAAAATACTCAGTGGAGTCAAGCTATAATTAAAAAAAATTAAAAAAATGTATTTTTCAATAACTTTGTCACTTATAAATATTTCTTCGTCCTATTACCACCAGGACGAACAAACAAAACTACCAGTATTAGTATAATCTGATATGGAAGATCTCGAGCTAACGTACACTGGAATCTCGTCTTGAGGAATGTATCCTTCCTTAACGCGAACAGCTTTTCTCCATGTCCCGTCAGGACGTCTAGTTGGAGGTATAATTAAATTACCTGCAAAAAATATGTCGTATAAAATAGAGAAAATATTGTGTATATACCGTTTTCATCACGCACAACACCTTGTCTCACAAATTCACTCATTTGTAGGGCAATACTTCTATGTACAATTTCAAGTCACTGTTTACCCTTCTGTTAACTTGTCATCAAAATGAGATTTGCAAGTTTATTTGACTGGATAGTTACAGCTGTCTGAAATGGCTGAAAATCTGAAATTAAAACCAAGAACCAATAATAAAGTGAAGGTTTTAGAACACTGTGCATAAAAAGGCCAGCCGAAACTTAATCATTACAGATAAAAGCAGTAGTGATTTTCAAAGTTTAGCGGATACAATGGTTGTATATATTCAAAGTAGCTTTATAGGTGCTTGTAAACTGACCACATGAAGCAATTTGTATACAAATCTATAAAAACTGCTTTTTATATATTTTCCTAGATTTTAGATTCGCATTCTACGGAAATTCTTAGCTTTATGTTACATCTAAAAGTTTAAAAACAGTGCACATAGGTTGTGTATACTTTCGCATATCTAGTGAGTTGCTGGATCTTACCATTAATCGAGCGTCAATAATTTGTAGGTCCGTGGGGAACTGTCCAAGATATGAAGTCTGACGTAATTGCTTCGACCGTTCCTTAGAACTTAGCCCAACTTACATCAAATGATGAGTTAACGCTACCTGACCAACTGCATATAATATAATGTACGTTTTAATAGCCAACACCGTTGGTTACCATTGATTCAATCGAGGTTCAACACATGAGAAATATTACATACTCAAAGGAAACATCAGAGTTTTGTCATCAATACTTGGTGTGAAATAAAAGACATTCGAACCATACGTGGCCACATTAGAATCATGTGTTAACAACAGATTCAAAAGTGTTTCAACATGAATTTTCACAACAATTGAAAGTAAGCTGTTGCTATATGAATTGTCGGGTATCGGAGGTGACAATCCATTATAGATAATTTTATTTGGATATATCACACAGTGTTATACAGTAATATTAGCTGATGACGTTTCGAGCACAAACTATTGCTCATAATCATATCAAGTCATTCAAACAACTTTTTACTTCATTTATATACATGAAAACATCTTATTTCCCATCTTATTGTATTTGATCAATAACACTCGTATTATTATTTCTGAATGTACATTATCCTATACTGATTTTTATTCGAATGTCTAATCAATTCCACTCATGTATATAAATGAAGGAAAAAAGTTGTGACTTGATATGATTATGAGCAATAGTTAGTGCTCGAAACGTCATCACCTAATATCACTGTGTAACTGTGTGATATATCAAAATAAGATCTTATCTATAATGGAGTTATACCCTACCACAGTGCCCAAGTTTTATACTTATATCGGAGGTGACAGTCTTAACCAGGCAAAATATAGTGTAAAAAGATCATTTACGATAAGTAGCGGTCATTTCCCTTTTAACTGCCAAGGCAATCCAACACGAAGTCGCAGAACTGAGGGGTCGAAAAACGAAAAACCACACAGATGACTGTTACAGACCTATGGTAACTCACTTCACGAATAACTACAAATGTACCACTAGCATTTGCTACATGGTCTGAAGTTTATTACTGGTATACAGTTATAATGTAGTCTATATAAGAACCCAAACATTATTTTCACCGCAACAGTCATTTCCATAGTTCAGACGCTGTTCGTGGATTGTCTTATTTCATTTTCGATCTGCACAGCTTTTGAAACTTATTTCTGATGGTGTGAATGTCAGTATGCATCACCACTAAACCCTCTATGTTACTTTCTTTGAAACTAAGGCAACCTGAAAAATAAGGAGCTGGAGAATTGTTATCACCTACGCACTTTTGTCTATGCATAATATACTCAGAGGTAAGACTCTAGAACAACGGTTACATTAAGCCCGAGTAGAAACAGAGTTTTTCATCCAGAGCGTGTTTGATTCTCTCCAGGATGATGCGGCTTAGTATTTTGCTTGGGATGGACAAGATTATAGATATAGCGTAATTGGATACTTTTGTTGCAGAGAGCACGGAGGTAAATTACACAAAAGAATGGGGGAAAATTATATAGGAAGATATACATATTCTCAACGAATGAATATATGACAAACTCACATGAGATACGTTACTTATAGGTGCGTGAAGTGTAATGGTGATGCTCTCCGTTTAAATCCACATTAACTGACAGGATGACCTTGAACAACAGATCGAAATACGCGCACTGTGAGACCCAGAGTTCTGATTGGAGGTAGAAGGCTTCGAACCAATATAAATCCTTTAGGCTGAACTTGTCCGTCAAAAAGGACTGTCCTTCACACGAAAATAGGCTGAATTAATATCCTGAGACATGAAGTCTTCATTGAATTATACTATGCCGAAGGGTGCAGCTTCTATATAAAGTAGACTATTTGTGTAAATGACATTACCCTCCAACAATCCCATCTTGCTCATTATAGCGCTATTTTGATACAGTCCGCCTGAAACACTAATCATTGCAACCAATATGCTAACAGTGTGTCATAGTGAGATCACATGACGCGTACACCAACAAAACTAGTTAGGAAATGAGAATTCCTATCAATCGAGAAAACATATAGCACAATTTTATTAAAACTTATTGACAAAAAATTTTTCCAGACGAAATTTCAACCCAACGTGACATATAAGTACAGCCAACTACTACTACTATCCTTATCATCTGAATCTGACTCTGAAAATACAGTAGCAGCTAGATTTTACGCAAAGTAATTTTCTCTTATACGCTGCAAGGATATTTCCTAATTCACCACTCGGTGATCCATAGAGGAATGGTGAAAATATGGCTGATCTTGGAATTTATTAATTATTAGCATCTTCACTTTTACCACCTACTACCACCCAAAACAACGACCTTTTGTTACCTGCAGTTTTGATCTAGAAAGAGGTGCTGCCAGAACAAGTAAAATATTTCACACACCATAGCAAACATACCCACTAACGAAGACGGAGAAGTTAAACTACAGCAGCAAACATCAGTTACTCCCTAAATAACTTTGAATAACCTATCATTATAAAGCGACGTGAAGACTAAAAATTTAGTTGGCCATCTGTTTCTCGGTGTACAGACAGCATAAAGTAATTCAGAGATACTAATTAATCATAATAGATAATTAAACATCTAGACGAAACTAGTAAACTAGATCAGGAGTGCAAAATTAGTGCAACGCATGCATGGTTTTCACTGATAATAATAAAAGGATTACTCCATTCAGTCATTTTGAAGGTCCTGCGGTCGAGTTTTTGGTACTGGAATCTATAGTTTAACTTCAAGTATTTGTGAACCACAGCTTTATACACCTTAATTTACCTGATTATTCTGGATATGCAGTTCTTTCTGCATCCAAGTAGCCCATCACTCCTTAGGAACCGAAAATCCACATCAGGATAAGCGTCCGTGAAATTTACGATTTATAATGTACTGTGGCTTAAAATTCATTTAGAGTTTTACCACTGGCTACTGCATTTAAGCTTCGTCACATCCCATGCTTGTCTATTCTATTTTGAAACGATTAGATTAGGGGCACTAAAGTCACTAATTCTGGGATTAGTTTCGTAGAGTTAAAGACTGGGTGAGATCACCAGTAATCCACTGCTGTATAGTCTATTTTCTGCTCTCGAACTCTGAGATTTATGGATTGAGGATAAAAGACTTGAAGCCTATGTTAATCCTTTTCTAGTAAATTCTGTGCTTGTCCAAACACTTCTCGATTAAGTCAGTTGAGGTTGCTGACACCACGTCTTTTTAAATTTGGTTCCAGGAGTTGATGATTCGGTTTTGAGAACCAGTGCTTCACAGCAATATAGTTTCTCCTTGGTTTTTGAACTCGCCTGCTATATCCTCTAGAGTGTTTCGAAGTGACTGGAAGGAAAAGACAGCATAGATCGTGTTCATAGTCACTATTTAGAATTTTAAACAATGTGACGGGATCTCCTCTCTTTCGGCAGTATGAAGACAGCCCCACCCCGTAAAGGTGGAAACCACTGCTGCTGAAACTTCAGAGCCCTAACTTGAAGCCGTATGTTCCTTTGGAAACGTAAAGGGATAAAATAATAATACTGCTTCAAATGCCTTACCAACAAGCTCAAATACAAATAGTTACAGTTTTTTATATCTATTCACTGGACCTGACAAAAATTTACAAGAGATACTTATTCACTTACGGTTTACCATGGTGTTTACTACTACGATATTTAGGTATTGAGACTTCATTCTCTCCTCTAATCCGAAATTTCTTTCTCCGTGTTTATTGGGTAGCTCTCTAGATAATGAGAAGCTTATATTCTCAATGTCGGAAAACGGGTGTCTTATTGTGCTCCTAGTTGGCTGAGGCTAGATCATTTGATACTTTACTAAAAATGTTCCCGTGCGAAAACGCCTGAAAAGTGAAGAATTTTCCGGACATCCTGAGCGGGCTCTTATTACGTTTAACATGTAATTCGCTGCTGCTAAACATAATATGATATTAAGTAATAATAATAATGTATTTCATATAAATTTACAAATTTACATGAAAATGCATGCCATTTTTACAGGCACGATCAAGTATGATACTATATCAAATCGTAGATTGTCTACAAGTTAATCGTATTTCAACTGTTAAATATTCGATACATATAATACACTCATTTTCTGAATTAGGCCGTATAGTTATTGAATTGTACAGTTGTCCTCCAAGTTGAGCGGGAAAATCGACTTCGTTCCGTTTTCATCCCGTGGTTGTAGGCATACGATAACCAACCAATATTGAGGTAAGTACACCTTTTACAAGGGATTGGAATCTGTTTTAGAAAAATTAAAGTGCTGAGGTGAATCATTAAATTGCAATGAAATAGGTAAGTGCAAGTATCATTAACAAATGCATTAATAAAGGAAACACCCTAGGGTAACAACATTCATTTGCAATGTATAATGCTACAGATATATCACAAACTATCATGATATCCACTTTTGATTTTAATACAATTATCCTCATGCCAGTTGTTTTTATTTTATACCTTTTTGTGCATTTAGTGCACAACCGTACCCTTCAGAGAGTAGGAGTATAATAAGTAATGAAGAGCTATAAGATGTTAAGTTTAATGGAGTAAAATGAGGATCAAGTAAAGACGTTGTCAGAAAATAAATGAGACAAGACATTGTGGAGTGGTATGAAAAGATCTGACGATAGACAGCAAGTTAATTTATAAGATGCCCCATAAATCTGAGCAGATCCCACATGGTCGCATCTCAACAATAGGCTGGGTGAATGGTATATATTTAAAGGTAGAAGCATGATCTGTCAAGGCGTTCATTGTTATCTTTTTCAAGATAAAGATTTAAGCCCTCATAAAAATCAGAAATATCTCGAGCCTTCAAATTTTTTAATGCTGTTCCTGCAGAATGGGACGATTCACCTTAGTGACCCCCACCATATCTACTAATCAGCTAACTCCACCCTCCCACCTTTTTTGATGTTAGGCTCTGAGACTATGATTATTATGGTTACCGCAAATATATTGCTTGGTACCAGACATGTTCGTACCCCATATTCCATCTCCCTAGCTTTCTTAATGAGTGCTTCCAATAGGTCCCCGCGTACATCTTTATGAACATATTATATATGTATGCATGCGTCCTAATGAACAGATTACTTTATAAGAAGTCAAAAACCTTGAAGAATAACAAGAATAGGTTTTGTGAATAGTGGAGCAAGATTCAGCAGAACAATATAGTTAGGGTTCAATATAGGTAGTATGAACTGAAGGTAAGGTCGGTTGGCAGGACCAAGTGTACTAAATTATCATGACAGTTTTATATATAGTAAACATTTGACATTGCAAAGTAACCTGTCTACATATATTATAAAAAGATATTAGCAGAACCAACAAAATTTCAGCATTTGGTTAACAATGCTACAGAAAGTTAGTGAGTCTTACAGGTAGCCGTAAAGTAAATCAATTTATGTATAATAAGAGTGTAATCAGTGTTATAATTCGTATTATCAAAGAATACATTAGGCTCAAAAACTGAATGTTATAAGGGAAATAAGAGTGATAAACTAAGAGAACATTTGCTGCGTAAGTAATCATTTTAAGTATTTTAATGATAATCTAATTTCAAGTATTGAACATGCATAATTACTAAGTATTATTAGGTTAGTCTAGGAACTAGTGTACTGTCTGTAGTTAAATATTGAAATGTCATGGTTTCACCACTCTACCAGCAGTTGAGATCATTTAGAAGGGCTAGGGTGGACATGTTAATATGTTTTTCTAGGCTCCTTTTGAAACTGTCAGGCCTTTCACAGGATCTAATCTCAGGACTGGTCCGTTAGCTTGAAGTCAGGAAATCGAATAGTCAATCGTGTTGACCGGTTATCCGATTGGAGATTCGCATCTGTCTTGATGAACTGAATGTTGACAAAATCTCGGCCCTTATACAAAAGGCTCGTCTGGTATTTGCCAGCATGTGTCGTCAACAATGCCTATATTATATCTGAACGAATGTAACAGTTCTCTTTGTCTTACTTTTCTGCTTTGAGACTAGGGATTCTGACTGTTGATAACCCCATTCAGATGTTGGATTTACTTGGAATGATATGATCAACACTAATAAGTTTGGGTGTAAATCACCAGTTTACAAACGAAAGTAGATTTGTGAGATTGCTGAAGTGTATCGGCTGGGCTAGCTACCGAATAGCCTACGTACGCCCCGTCATTGCCATCCTCAGCAAGCAGTATTAAATGATATAATATTGGGTTGAAAAAAGCTAGAAGTCGTTTGACAAAACATGGCATCATTTCATGCAGTTGTAATTTTTGGTTTGAGCCTTGTAGAAAGATGGAGGCTCCCCTACCATGGTTTTCAAAAATTTGATGACCAGAGTTTGGTGACTGATGGTGTTACTGCTCATTCTCGCAGTGCAGGTGCATTCTCTCATTTTGATCCTCTGGCCTCATTTAGTTTCCGCATTCCTCTCCCCTACTTAAACTAGCGCTTTTGTGAAGAGCATCATCCTGAAGTGCTTCACTTTCATGTGAAGTTCTACGTTGAAAATTCAGTTGACCTGGATCTCTTGGTGAAAAGATACGGTATACTTTGAGATTAAGGGTAAAGTTTCTTCAGCAATTCTGACGGTAGACATTCAAAGCATAAACCAAGAACGGTTTCACGACAAGGCCTTTGTTTCATGGAGTTTAGAGATTTCATGTTATTGTATCACTCAACTGAAAAATTTGGTATTTATCATACGACAGATAACCTTTTAAATTCATTTAATCTGTTGATTTTATGTGACAAGCAGCGCGGTATGATTATTAGCCGGCTGGTGTTTCAAATACGGTTTTTCTCTCAAAGCCATGCCAGTACTGGCCTCTGTAATTCCGTGGGGTGTCACTACGTTATTTTTATTGACAGGAAATTTCACAAACATAAGTAACTAGTGTTAGTACAACTGGATCTCGTCTTTCCAA